TTACACGCCTCTCTATAAAAAGAAAGCCCAATTTGAGGAAAGTGACAGAACTTTCCCGCCAACCTAATAACAACTTTGGTTGTTCTTGGTGGTTCTTTATTTCTGCCAGATTAGTTCTTTGATTGAAACTCCTAGTTCACAGCCCCACGTCAAACTCCTTTTCAAAGACCTGAGCTTGAGGCTTGAGAGTTCCACTTTGGCAACTGTTCCACCTAGGCGCTTCCGGTGCTGAGCGGGATCTTTGGCCACTGCGAGCTCTTGTCGCCCTGGTGCGCACTTTCGAATGGAGAAAATGGCAAGCCTCGAACGGTAGACCTTATGTAGGAGAAGGGTCTATTTCTGCAATAAACGGAATGTGTCGTCAATGTCTTCACCAACACGTTATTTGGAAATGTTCTCGACTAAACTTCGGAACTCCAGGAAGGAAGAACTTGCTAGTAATTTGCAAGCTGAGAGCTTCATACCATTGTCAGGCTTCTGAAGGAAAAGAAGTTGTCGGTTTTGTTTTGACGATTGCGAGGTACAGGTAAAAATATCCGCGCGCAGCGGCTTGCAAAGGTGGTATCAGCCACAGCGCAGTGGCATAATCCCAGCAGGGTATAGTGAGGGGAGCCAAATTTGCCTGCGAAACAAATCTTTCTGAGTCGCGAAAAAATTTAAGCTGATTGTAGGCTCTTTCTGTTTCCGGTTCATGTTCGCTATATTAATCATACGATAATGTGGGCGAGTTTCAGGCACTGCCGCATGTTATTTACTGCCGAGTATACCGATGGCCTGATTTGCAGTCACATCACGAACTCAAGGCAATTGATAGCTGCAGGTGAGCTTCACTTCTCGCTAAGCTAGTCCAATTTTTCTCAGATCAAGGCAATCTAATCTTTCTCTGAACGCTTGGGTCTGAAAACAACATCGTGTTCAAAGGGAGCTGTTTAAAATTGCGAGTATGGAACTGTTTCTAGGGCTCAATTTGGGTATGGGGTGCTGAAGGAACGTTCTTTTCCTCCTCTCATTGAAGACTATGAATGCGTGAAGGTTTGCGTAACGCATCCACTCCCCAAGCAGGCGTCTATAGGAAGGTAACCGTCTTACGGGACTGGTGGATATAATGAAATGTGGCTCTCATTACCACCGAAGAGGGAAAGAAGAGCCGAAGCCTTGCTCCTGTTCATCCCTGAGATCAACTCATATATAATATTTACGAGCGGCAATGCCTCGGGGCACAGTCTTGTTCGCTGCGGATGATGAGCGTGTCGAGGGGGGGGGGTAAGGGAGGTGAAAAGAGTGGGCAACGTCAGTCCGGATTTTCTTTTCTTTTGGCAAGCGATAAGACTGTATCACATCGTTCTTACCACTGGTTTTTCATCAGTTGTTGTCGCTTTCCTGCTTTAACAACTGATGGAGGACGTGCTGGCGGCCGTCAAACCATAGAGAATTCCTTCTGCAAGACTGGGATTGCTGTCATCTAAACAGAAGACCGTATTTGGATTTAGCTAACCCTTCACAACACGAATCCCTTCCACCTTTGGACGAAAGTCCTCATCTCCATTACAGCAATTCTAGTTTTGCATAAGAAGATCTTTAAATATTCCTTCAAAGTTGCTGGCGCCTCTTTACGGTTGCGCTTACGTCTGCATTGTTCGTCCGTTTCTTATACTTTTCTGAATTGAAACTTTTCTCTTTTTCTACTTCTTTTATTGGAATTTCTAGATACTGCTATGATTCTGGTCAAAAAGAGATCTGTATCAACCCCTATCACTATCGCCGCATTGAAAGCGATGGTGTACTGCCACCGGTGCTTGTACCGAGGTGAAGCTTGCCCTTTTTAGATGTATTATTAGATTAAGATTTCATCAGCCGTTGATACTGTTCTGTTGCAGACACTCAGAGCTCCCACCAGCTTCGATCCCTCCAGGAATCCGACGAATGCAAGCCATGGAAGCTTCCGGATCGTCAATGCCACAGAACGTAGAAATTGCCGGTTTGTTCAAGTGGGTCCAGTTACTGCTGTTAGTTCCATTTTTGAGATCGCAGATAGCCAAGACTTTGGGTTGGAATTCACCTCAGTAATCTTTCATTATCGGAACGTGAAGACACAGCCCGCAATCACTATAATTAGCTAAACTTTTCATCTGGACAGGTAGTGTGAGCTGCAGCGAACAACCCTGTATAAGTTTCACGTCAGAAAGTGGCAAGGTAGCGGCGGTAAGGCGCAAGGTTGCTCAAGTGACTCCGCCCAAGTTGATAGATGTCTTATTTACGCTCTCCTTCGTTTGCATGCTCTCTCGCTGTTTTCTCTGGCCTCTCTCCCGATATCCACATTGATTGTTTGTCTTTCGCGTGGCACGAGTAGGGCTTAACAAAGACATCA